TTATTGGAGCTCATGTCCTGACTTGTGAGCTCTGTTGTTCATTCAGAGTTGCTGGGCAGGTACATTTAGGTCTGCTGAAGCAGAATTCATAAACTCCCTTCCCCCCTCCCCCCCCCCCCCGTGCTCTGTCCCAGGGAGTTTTGGCTTTATTTATCAGTTTCCATTGTGCTGCTGCTTTTTTTTTTTTCAGGGCTGCCCTGCCTATCAAGGAGGCAGCCTAGTCACTGTCTGCCTGCAGAGGCTTTGCTGAGCTGCTGTGAGCTCTGCCTAGCTGCCATGTGATCTTCCCTGCAGTCCTGTTTACATGGGTGTAGTTACAACTGCCTTGGCAATGGTGGCCCACCTGTGTTATGGTGGACTCTCTCTGTAGTGGCCAGTTGCCTCGGCAATGGCGGGCTGCCTCATCAACAGCGGCTGCCTCAGCGATGGTCAGACTGCCTCCGTAGGGGTGGAGTATCTCAGTAATGGCGGATGCCCCTCCCCCACAGAGCCTGAATGTCCCAGGTTCAGCTCTGCTTGCTGTGAAACTCTCAACCCAGAACGTTTTCAATTACTGGGTGGCGGGGTCGGACCAGCCGAGCCTGATCACCTGGCTCCCTGACTCAGAGTCTTTTTTTGTTGTTGTTGTTGAACGGTCAACTCTCTCCCAGTGTTCCAGTCACCTGTTGAAAAGGCGCCAGGATCTCCCGTGTCGCAACTCACTGAGCCGGCTGAAACAGCGTTGCTGAGATTCCTGGTGGTTTTTTTGCCTAGTAATCTCCTGGCCTGGCTCGCTATTTCAGATGAATGGGCCACTCTGCCATCTCAGGGCTCCAATCACCAGCTAAGAGGGCACCCGGACCAATGTCTTTTGTCCAGAGATCCACCGCACCAGGGCGTGGGGAAAGCAGCCATGCAGGCCAAAACAGCCGCGCCAGCCGAAACAGCCACGCTGGCAACCCGGGGGGCTCCTCTGCCTGGGAATCTCCTGGTCTGTGGGCAATAAAAATCCATCTGGAAATGCGGCATCCACTCATCCTCTGCACTTTCACTGGGAGCTGCAATCCTGAGCTGTTCCTAGTTGGCCATCTTCTCCCGATCCCTATGCATCTATTGAGAAAATCATGTGGTCTTTGTCTTTGGTTCCATTTATGTGATGTATGACATTTATGGATTTGCATATGTTGAACCAGCCTTGCATCCCTGGGATGAAGCCTACATGGTCCTGATGGATAAGCTTCTTGATGTGCTGTTGCAATCTGTTTGCCAGTATTTTATTGAAGATTTTTGCATCTATGTTCATCATAGATATTGGCTTGAAGTTTTTTTTTTTTTTAGTTGAGTCTCTATCTGGTTTTGGTATCAAGATGATGTTGGTCTCATAAAATGAGTTAGGGAGGATTCCCTCCTTTTGTATTGTTTGATACCGTTTCAGAAGGAATGGAACCAGCTCCTCTTTGTACGTCTGGTAGAGTTCGACTGTGAATCCATCTGGACCTGGACTTTTTTTGGTTGGTAGGCTATTGATTTCTATCTCTACTTCAGCCCTTGTTATTGGTCTATTCATGGTTTCAACTTCCTCCTGGTTTAGTCTTGGTAGCGTACAAGTGTCTAGGAATTTATCCATTTCTTCCTGGTTTACTGGTTTATGTGAGTAGAGCTGTTTGTAGTAATCTCTGATGGTAGTTTGTATTTCTGTGGGATCAGTGGTGATAATCCCTTTATCATTTTTTATTGCATCTATTTGATTCTTCTCCCTTTTTTATTAATCTGGCTAGTGGTCTGTCTATTTTGTTGATCTTTTCAAAAATCCAGCTCCTGTATTTATTGATTTTTTGAATTTTTTTTTGTATCTCTATCTCCTTCAGTTCTTCTCTGATCTTATTTATTTCTTGTCTTCTGCCATCTTTTGATTTTTTTTTTATCTTGCTCCTCTAGCCCTTTCAATTTTGATGATACGGTGTCGATTTTAGATCTTTCCTCTCTTCTCTGGTGGGATTTATTGCTATAAATTTCCCTTTCAACACTGCTTTAAAGGTGTCCCAGAGATTCTGGTAAGTTGTATCTTCATTCTGGTTGGTTTCAAAGAACATCTTTATTTCTGCCTTCATTACATTGTTCATCCAGTTGACACTCAGGAGCAAGTTGTTTAGTTTCCAAGTGGTTGTGTTGGTTTGAGTGTGTTTCTTGATCCTGAGTTCTAGTCTGATTGCGCTGTGGTCTGATAGACTGTTATGATTTCTGTTCTTTTGCATTTGCTGAGGAGTGATTTCCTTCCAATGATGTGGTCAATTTTAGAGTAAGTGCAATGTGGTGCTAAGAAAAATGTATATTCTGTGGATTTGGGGTGGAGCATTCTGTATATGTCTAATTCGGTCCGCTTGGTACAGCTCTGCATTCAAATCCTGGATATCCTTGTTAATTTTCTGTCTCATTCATCTGTCTAACATTGACAGTGGAGTTTTGAAGTCTCCCACTATTATTGTGTGGGAGTCTAAATCTTGTTTTATGTTGTTAAGAACTTGCTTTATGTATCTGGGTGCTCCTGTGTTGGTGGCATATATATTTAGAATAGTTAGCTCTTCCTGTTTGATTGATCCTTTTACCATTATGTAGTGTCCTTCTTTGTCTCTTTTGATCTTTGTTGGTTTGAAGTCCATTTTATCAGAGACTAGGATTGTAACCCCTGCTTTTTTTTGTTCTCCATTTGATTGGTAAATCTTGTTCCATCCATTTATTTTGAGTCTATATGTGTTTTCTATGTGAGGTGGGTTTCCTGAGTACAGCACACCAATGGGTTCTGACTTTTTATTCAGTATGCCAGTCTGTGTCTTTTTATCAGGGCATTTAGGCCATTTACATCCAATGTTAACGTTATATGTGAATTTCATCCTGGCATTTTGTTACTGGCTGGTTTTCTTTCCCGTTTGTTGCCTCATTTTCTTCATTGCATTTTTGGTTTTTGCCAGCTGTTTTGCTTTTGCTGTGTCTGGTATTTGTTCCTTTCTGTGCTTAGTGTTTCTTTCAGGAGCTCTTGTAGGGCAGATCTGGTGGCAACAAAATCTCTCAATAATTGCTTGTCCGTAAAGGATTTTATTTCTCCCTCACTTATGAAGCTTAGTTTGGCTGGATATGAGATTCTGGGTTGAAAGTTCTTTTCTTTAAGGATGTTGAATATTGGCCCCCACTCTCTTCTGGCTTGTAGGGTTTCTGCTGAGAGATCTGCTGTGAGTCTGATGGGCTTCCCTCTGTGGGTGACCTGACCTTTCTCTCTGGCTGCGCTTAGCATTTTTTCCTTCATTTCAACCCTGGTGAATCTGATGATTATGTTCCTTGGGTTTACTCTGCTTCAGGAATATTTTGTGGAGTTCTCTGTGTTTCTTGAATTTGAAATTTGGACTGCCTTGCTAGGCTTGGGAAGTTCTTCTGGATAATAACCTGGAGCGTGTTTTCCAGCTTGAATTCATTCTCCCCATCATATTCAGGTACACCAATCAAGCGTAGATTAGGTCTTTTCACATAATCCCATATTTCTTGGAGGCTTAGTTCATTTCTTTTCACTCTTTTTTCTCCTCTTGCCTTCTCTTTTTATTTCATTGAGTTGATCTCCAATGTCTGATATCATTTCTTCTGCCTGATCGATTCAGCTATTAAAACTTGTGTTTGCTTCGCCTAGTTCTTGTGCTGTGCTTTTCAACTCCATCAAGTTGTTTATGTTCTTCTCTAAGTTGGTTGTTCTAGTTAGCATTTCTTCTAACCTTTTTTCAAGGTGTTTGGTTTCTTTGCATTGAGTTAGAACGTGTTCCTTTAGCTCAGAAAAAAAATTTTTTATCCACCTTCTGAAGCCTGTTTCTGTCAATTCATCACACTCCTCGGTCAAGTTGTGATCCTGTGTTGTTGAGGAGTTGTGATCCCTTGAAGGAGAAGAGGTGTTCTGGTCTTTGTTGGTTTCATCTTTTTTGCGCTGGTTTTTTTCCATCTTTGTGGATGTACCTGGCTGTGGTGTCAGGGAGCTGCTTGATGAGTTCGCTTATCTGCCTGTGGAGGCGCTGCTGGGGTCTAGGGACTCCTTCAGGTTACTAGGAAAGCTTCCTGTGTCTTTTTTGTTGATAGTAGGAGACTAGGTCTGCCTATTCCGCTGACCTGTAGGTGCTGCGTTGTCAAGAATGCTGTCCTGTTGCTACGTAGGTGTCCTGTGTTTTTTGTTAAAACATGTAGCCGAGTCCCACCGCTCTAGTGGTGGGTTATGCCCTTCCTCCACTGGGCTAGATCATTCAGGGTTCATCTCAGGCTGTGGCAGTGACTGTGCAACCCACTAGAGTCAGAGCTTCAGCCCTCGGGTTTATGGGGTAGGGGAGGGACCCGCCCAGCCACATCCAGCCATCTCCCCCTTTCAGCTTCCTCTCTCTCCAGTCATGGGGTAGGCACCTGCCCAGCTGCTCCTGCTTACAGCTCCCTCTCTCTCTGGGCAGTGGGAGGGGATGATAGCTCAGTCTTCAGGCTCTTACTCAACTCCATGCTTGTAATTCCTGGTGCTTGACTGGCAAATATCCCCTGTTCTGTGTATTGCTGAGGCTTTAGAGGAAGCGCTGTATCTGGACCAGAGTGCCAGAGGGAGAGCCTCCCACTTGCCGGTCAGATGCACTTTCTGGGTGAAGCAGCACCCCTCCCCGTTTTGGTCTGCCCTGAGTGGGCTTTGTTCACCATCGGACCAGACCCATTAAAATGCACCTGGTACCTTGGCTGGAGCTAGGAAATCTCTGGATTTTTGCATCTCTCTTGCTGGGTGTTGTGCGCTGGAGTTCTGTTTATCAGTCATCTTTCAGGAGTTTTTAAATGAAGGTAGACTTTTGCTGTGTTACCCAGGCTGGCCTTGAACTCCTGGGCTCAAGTGATCCTCCCATCTCAGCCTCCTGAGTAGTATCTGGAATTACAGCCATGTGCTACGATACTCGCTTATGATTCTAATAATTTATGTTTTTCTATTTTTGATTTAAAATGTATATATTTTTCTTTAATAGTGCATGCTGCTACCACTGAAGACTGCATGAACAGGTAGGATTTTACAGATTTTGAAAAATGATATGTAATCTAAAGGACTGCAGAGAAAAGAAACTAATAACTGTTGGGTGTTTTATACTGGGCTTATGTGCTTCACATTTATCATCTCCTGTAGTTCTCATATAGCTTTGCAAGTAGCTGTGCTGTTATCAACTGCTTTTTAAATAATTAGGTATCCACGATTTAGAGAGATTGCATAATTAGCCCATGATCTTGTAATTAACAAGTAGCCAACCCATGATTTGACCATGAGCCTGCCTGGTCCCCAGATCACTTCTCTTAAGACCTGTGCAGCAATGGAATCAAGGTACAGGTCAAAATCAGATCTGTTCAGAAAGTTACATTTTGTTTTATGTCAACACTCTCCTTAGAAACTTGGTTAGTTCAGAAATTTGTCCTAACATACCTGATAATTGCAGTGGTAACCAGCAACTTATTTTTACCATCAAGGTTTTTAAGGTAGATCTCACTTAGCAACCCTAGGTTGTTTTCCATAAGCAACATCAGCCAAGTCCTGGAGAGAAATATTTTGCTGTAAGTGGTCTGCATATAGACCATGTTATGTTAATTATATTTTGCTCACATTCAAAGGAAATGTTAATTGATTTCTCTACTTTCTGACTTCCCTGTTTGGTTTTTCCTTTAGGCAAGTACGTTGTTTAGTTCCATGAAGCTTTTTCTTTTTCTCCAAAGTCCATTTTTTCCCTGTGAGTTTTCTGTATTCTTTTCTTGATTTTTTGTTTGTTTGTTTGTTTCTTCTCTGCTTTTCTTGTTGTGTTTTTTTTCTATGACTGTGCTCATGCCAGCTAAATATTCTCAATTTTTCAATATACAGAATCAAAAGCACATCGAATTTCAGGATTTTAAGGGATATTAGAGACTAAATAAAATATCTAGTACTTCATTCTGTGTTTAACGTCCCAGACAAGTGGTTGTTCAGGTGAAGACCCTGAAACTCAAAGATAGTAAATAATTTCTTTGGGAACACTTTGTAGCCTAAATGAGATTTGAACTCAAATTCCTTAGTTCAAAGCCTAGTCCTCTTGTATACCATCCTGTCAGTATTTTAATAATAGAAAAGGGAGAGTGGGTCTAGTGATCCCAATGGAAGATGATGAGAATGGAATGAGCTGGTGAACCTTAATGGAAGTGGATAAGAATGGAACTAGCAGGGGGAGGCCAAAGACACTGAATTAGATAAGAGTAGGAGTTTAAGAAAAGAGATCAGAATATTGGGCTTTGTGATAAGGATAAATTAGAAAAGCACAGGATGTTGGGAGTTCGCAAGAAAGACAAAGTAGGGGGCTTAAGAAAGTCCTAAACAGGTTGCTGCTGTTATTGTTTCTCTGCTTAGAAAAACTGGCAGACATCAAGGGTTTTTTGTTTTTGTTTTTGTTTTTTTGAAAGATGTTAAGAGAATTTGAGCCACTGGGAAGAGTCGTAGAGCAGATAGAAATGTGTATCATCTTCCACTCCAGCTTACAGAGGTGTAGCTTAGAGCTTGTCAAGTGCTAGGGTATTGGAGGTTGCTGAACTGCATAGATCTGTGACCCAGGCCAGGTCTCCCCTTTTCTCTGCCTCTTTTCCCAATTAACTGATGTTCTTCTAATATCTATGTAGGTTTAAGGCAAGCATAGGATTAGCTGGCAAATTAGTCAAGAGCTTCATTTGGGTAGTTGGTCATGTGCCTATCCTAGAGGTGGATGATTGAAATTCCATTTAGCTTACTTTCCAGGAACAGGGAAACAGAGCTCCTACCCTTGATTATTTGACCTCATCCTTTTAGGAATCTATGCTTTCCTACGCTGAACATTTAAAATCTGGAGACTGCCATGGAGCCCCGCAGAAGGATCTGGAAGTGGGAGCCCACAGGAAGAAAGATATTCAGATAGTACTTAGAGAAATAGAGATACAACTACCAGGACTCAGTTATGTTCGCTAAACCCGTTTATGTCTAGTATTCCGTTATTGGAATGCTAAGCATGTGGGAGTTATTTATATCCTACCACTCAAGGTCATCACCAAGGTCTGACTTTTCAGATTCAAAAAATTGCAACCTCAGGCATAAATGGGTTAATTGAGCTTTCAGTTCAGCCTTCAGGACAAACTGCTGTGGGTCTCTGCCAGTATATTGACTGACACTATTTGGTATGGAAGTAATACTGAGTAGGCATTGGATATCACATAGGTTTGGAGAGCTGAAGGAAGAAATAGGTAACAAATATTTTTTGAAACAAAGGTCATATTTTAATTACATCAGGATATATATTATTTGATATACTGATAGCTGATCTTTTCCTAGATTTTGTTTTTCTTTTTTTGTTTATTGGAGGTACATACAGATACAGACTGGGAGTTGTTTTGTTTTGTTTTGTTTTGTTTTGTTTTGTTTGTTTTTGTAAGAAATGAACCTTATTTTTGTTTTGTATATTTTTGCTCTTAAGGCTTTCCTGCAGACTGGATACCTTTTTAGGGCATACTTCACAGGATGGTGACTTCAATTTTAATTTCAAGGTAAAGTGGTCTTCTGAAATTAATATTCTCACTCTGAATCTACTTTTATATAGTATTTACTCTTAAAATTTAGCAATGGTCTACCTTTGTTTATCCACAGAATAGAAATTTAGTTAAGAAAACCATTTTATAGATATATAACTAGGTAAATTTATTTTTTTAACTTTGGTACATAGCAGATAACTGATAAGTACTTTGAGGGAATGAGAACTGAAAAAGAGAATGGGCTGGAAAATACATAATGGCAGGAAAATTATACTACAAGAAGCTTCCCCACGAGAGAGGAAATGTGAAATTTGGTCAAAGCTCATTGGAATAAATTTCTTTACTGTGAATTTTAAACCATACTAACTGACTTTTATAATACTTATCTGTTAAATGAACCTTTAATGGATCTAGTTACTTGTAGTAATCATGGAGCCTCCCTGTTAACCATAGTATATAGTTGCTTTTTTCTTCTTGACCATTTATTATTTTGGTATTATACAGTTTTTGGCAGAGAGTTTTAAAAAATGTTTATCCTTGGGTCTGTAATTAGACTAAAACAATATTGGCAATAGCGGGAATTTAATTATGCATGATGTCATGTGCCTGCAATACCAGATGTTCAAGAGGCTGAGGCAGGAGAATTACTTGAACCCCAGAGTTTGAGACCTGGGCAACATAATAAGACTCCATCTCTAACTTTTTAAAAAATTATGGAAGACTAGAAATTAAAATGCTTCCTCAAAATCTGTATGGCAAAGAGATTCCACTGTATTTTCTAAGTCACTAAGAGCATATTTTAAAGTCTTAATCTAATTGAAGAATAGATGTTTTGTTCAAAATAATAACATACAGAAGTAAGCAGAGAATTTTAGTATTGATACAGTAAGACTTTAACTTCAGAAGGCTTTTGGAAGTGCAATTTTCAGAAATACCTACTCAGAGTTCTTGTATCTCATTCTAAAATTTCAAATCTCAGCCTTTTCTATTCAGTTATTTAAATAAAAAATTTTAAGCTACTATATTACTATGAGTTACTGGAGATTAGGAAACATATTTGTTTTTGGAGTACCTAAAATTATGATTTGCATGTAAAAAGTATTTTAATAGTTTTCATTATAAATAAATGAACACACAAATGAGTTTCTATAAAATGGAATGTTATAAGTAACATAGTACACTTGATATATTCTAATAATTAAATCTCATTTCTAAAATATGGCTTAAATTTATATATTTATTTTATTTTATTTTATTTATTGTTTTGAGACAGTCTTGCTCTGTCACCCAGGTTGGCACGATCTCAGCTCACTGCAACCTCCGCCTCCTGAGTTCAAGCGATTGTTGTGTCTCAGGCTCCCTAGTAGCTGGGATTACAGGTGCATGTCACCATGCCTGGATAATTGCATGTATGTGTGTGTGTGTCTGTGTGTGTGAGAGAGAGAGAGATTTAAATGCAGAGGGGCTTTCACCATGTTGGCCAGGCTGGTGTTGAACTCCTGACCACAAGTGATCCACCCTCCTCGGCCTTCCAAAGTACTGGGATTACAGGTGTGAGCCACCATGCCTGGCCCCTTTTAATGTTTAGGATATGTAAATTCAGATGAGTTGTGTTAAGAAAATGTGACAAAATAGGAAGGAAATAAATTAGAAATATGTCATAAGTAGAAAAGATGGATTTAGTATATCTTCTAATATCCTTCAAGTGGAAGCTTAGGTTAAGATTTTAGCTTAAAACTTCTTAAATTTTTTAAAGCCCTAACTCACGTTATATTAAATATATATTTTCAAGCCACACTTTACTGTTTAGAATTCTGCTTGCTAATTCTTTCTCCAGGTGGAAAGTTGATGGATTATTTCTTGTTCTATTTTTCTCTGTTGATGGTAACAATGTTCCAGCTTTCAGGTAGTGATAGATGAATTTTAGAGTAATAAAATTAATAACCCTTTTATTATACAAGTTTTTACAAAAAGCTTATTGTAAATTTTAATCAATATTACTAGGGATCCATTATGAACACAAGTTTCTGTTAGGTATCTGTATTTCCCCACATACATTATTGTGGTTAAAACTTTTTCTTTCCTTGGCTTAAGCTAATGCTTGATTGACTGGCTGTCTCTTTTTTATTTTGTTGTTTCTCTCCTTTTTTTTTTTTTTTTTTTTTTTTTTTGAGACAGAGTCTCGCTCTGTCATCCAGGCTGGAGTGCAGTGGCACAATCTGATCTCGGCTCACTGCAACCTCCACCTCCCAGGTTCAAGCATTTCTCTGCCTCACCCTCCTGAGTAGCTGGGATTACAGGTATGCGCCACCATGCCCAGCTAGTTTTTGTATTTTTAGTAGAGACAGGGTTTCACCATGTTGGCCATGCTGGTCTTGAACTCCTGACCTCGTGGTCTACCCTCCTTGGCCTCCCAAAGTGCTGGGATTACAGGTGTGAGCCACTGTGCCTGGCCTCTCCTTTTAAAAATGATTTACTTCAGCCCTTCTCCTTGCAGAACACGTGTCTTTAGTGTCTGTTCTTTTATTACACTCTGTCTCTATTGTCAACATATTTAGTGACAACTTCCTCCTTAGTAGCTGTGTGTAGATTTCAATCATCAGTCATTGCCCTACAAGGTTTATTCTTATTTTTCTCTCTTTCTTGGAAGGAGCTGAATTAATATGATAATTTATTTCAGCTTTTTTATAAACAATATAGAAGTTGCTTGAACTGTTTGCAGTGTCTGCCCATTTAAATAAGATACCACTAAAAACTAAGTTCTCACATTTTCCCTGTAAGACATAATTTATGCAAATACACAACATATAATTACATATTTAATTTATATTTCTTAATAAATTAGTTTTTTCAGTAATACTCAAAACTCCCTATGGCTAAGTTTTGTTCTAGGTTATTTTGGTTAAGAAAATAATCTAATTGATATAGTATTTGTATAATAATGAACTAGTGGCAAAAGAGTAACATTTTGAGGATATCTGTATCATCTCTCATAATCCTCACCCCATGAGAACATGTACATTAGTAAATGACAGATTTAAGGTTTGAATCTATTAATACATGAGGGACTCTAAAACCTGTATTATTTGTGTTAGATCATATAGTACTAGTGAATATTATAATTAGTTTATCAAACTTGATACATGTCATTCTCTTAAAGCTATTGTTTTCTTTTCAGAATGTTCCGAAACAACACTTAACCAAGCAAAGAACTATTTCTCAAAAAACAGTCTCCTCAATGAGGAATAATGGTAAGCTATCTGAAGACTACCTATTCTTGTGTTATTCATTGACTCTTAATTACAATTTTTTATATACTCTTTCCTTTAACTTTAGTGAAAACATATGTCACTGTGAGAACAAGAAATATAACTTTGTTTGAAGGCAGCAGTTCTGACAGCAAAAATGAAGATGGGGATAAAATCCATCCTAAAATCATCAATGTTCATCCTTGTCGACCTATTCACCCTGGTCTGAAACCTTCCCTCAATCCTATTGTGAGCGCTGGTGTTACAAAGGTACATTGTTTCTTTTTAAAATCTTTCCCCTCCCCATGCTTTTTTCAGATACCATCCCCTCAATCTTCATAATGAGGACAGGGATCCTAGAAAGAAATGCAAGTCCTCAAGATCGGATGGATTACAATCTCTAGTCCTTCACCCTCGAATGCTTGCCTTGTATATTAGAATTAATATTCTTTCCACCTGGCCCATTTTGCAAACCATAGCTTTCTCTGAAACATTTTTTTTTTAAATCCCCTTTGCTATATTTCTGCTGAAAGAACATGTGAAATGGCTCTCACCTTTCCTATATGTCAGTTATTACTACTCTCTCAGGATCTGAATTCATGCTCTGATCTCTTATATACATTTAGCATACAAGTCTACTATAGATTTAGTTCAATGTAGTTCAAATTTGACCGCCTCGTTCTGTGAGTTGGACAATAAATTGTATATGTATTTGTATAATTGCAAAAAAAAAAAAAAAACAAGTGTAACAACTACGGAGATAGATGCATGGGTTTAAGGTTTATGAAAAGAGATGGGAATAGACAGTTCTTAGGTTTGCCTTTATGAAAGGAAATAAATAATAAGCAACCCAAAAGAACAGCTCAAAATGAGCTGGGCACAGTGGGTCACGCCTGTAATCCTAACACTTTGGGAGGCCAAGGTGGGCAGATTACCTGAGCTCAGGAGTTCGAGACCAGCCTGGGCAACATGGTGAAACCCTGCCTTTACTAATAAGCAAAAAAATTAGCCAGGCATGATGGCACATGCCTATAGTCTCAACTACTCAGGAGGCTGAGGCATGAGAATTGCTTGAACCCAGGAGTTAGAGGTTGCAGTGAGCCAAGATCATATCACTGCACTCCAGCTTGGATAACAGCGCTAGACCCTGTCTCCAAAAAAAAACAAGAATTAAATCTTTCCATGCAATTCAAAAATGCATTGTCATAATGTTCCAGAAATAAGCATCTGCATAAATTAATTAAGGAATATTTTATACTCCTGAAAAAATGTGGAAATAAATATATAATTGAAAAGTGGAATTCCATGATTTTCCCTCCTCATGTTAGTATATTTTACAAATATTTATCGATACTGTATCCTTTTCCTGAGTAAGGTTATTTACTTCTATTCCAAATGTATTTATCCCAATCTGTCTTCTAAGGTTCCTGGGTGCCTCAAATTTTATAGGTCCTAAACTGAACACATTGTTCTTGATTCTTTCCTGACTACTGCCCTTCGTAATCTACTCTGTCATCTGGCTTCCCTCTCCTAGTACATAACACCTGGTAAATAGCACTGAAACATTGAGAAAGGGAAATCCTGCACTCCAGTTCTCACATCACCAATGTGTTCACTTACCAAGTTCTGTATTTTTACCTGCTTACCACTTTTCATATCTTATTACTGTAGTTCACTTTGTGACCTGTATTTCTAGAATACTCTTTTATAGTTTGGTCCCTGCCTCACCACTTTCATTTGCTTTTACATTGCTGCCAGGATGACCTTCCCAAAATATATTTGTGATGATCTTAACTCGTCTGCTCATTGAGTGGATCCCCATTACATGAAGGGGGAATTTTACATTCCAGCATTACATATATCTTTTGTAGTTTGGCCTGGTTTTCCTGCTTTCTCTCTCCACCCCATTCCCTCTGACTGCATTCCAGTAAAACTGGAGAAAGCAGGAAAACCAGGCCAAAAAAAACAATGCCCATCCTGCATTATCTAGAAATCCTTTATACCCTCAATCTTCACTTTGTCAGTCTCAAAATATGGCCCTGATTTTTCAACATTTATGGAGCTTTCCAAGTAGAATTGACTATTCTCTCTTAATGCCGTCACCATATTTCATTGATTTAAATTGTAGACCTGGTGTTATATGTTTGTTCTTCCTGCTTTTCATATATCTCTATCCCCACTTGAATATAGGGTGGAATCTGTCTTTTGTTTATATTTTCAGCTTTTCTCAGGAAATGCCATGATTTTATATGCACGGTGAATAAAGAAATACAATGGTTTCTAAAATTTTTTTGTTTTTGTTTTTATAGGAGGAAGCAACAAAACTACCAACTGGAAAAAAAGAAAACGGTATTATTTAAAGTGCTCCATGAGAGCAAACAAATTATAATAATTTTTTGTGTGTACAAAAATCAGAGGTGGTAAGTTAGTGAATAGCTTTGAAAAAAAATATTTGCTTAAATCCTATTATTAAAAAAAGAAGAAGAAGAAAACACCAAATGTGGCAGCTCATGCCTATAATCCCAGCATTTGGGAGGTCAAGGTAGGCAAATCACTTGTGCCCAGGAATTTCGGACTTGCCTGGGCAACATGGCAAAACCTGGGCTCTGCTTTAAAAAAAAAGCTACAAAAATTAGCTGAATATGATAGCACAGGTCTGTAGTCCCAGCTACTTGGCAGGCTGAGGTGAGAGGATCACTTTAGCTGAGGAGGTTGAAGCTGCAATGACCTGTGATCATATCACTACATTCTGGGTAACAGAGCAAGACCTCCCAAAAAAAGAAAAAAAAAAAAAACCAAAGTCACAGACCCAAAAATCATATCTTTTTTGCTATTTTTCTCATATTATAATCTCCCTTTTCCTGAAACTACATCAAACCTGAATTTTTTTTCTATTATTTTTATTTTATTTAAATATTCATGAATGGAGATAGACTTTACATATGTATTTGAAATTTTACAGTAACTAATAGTGTCATGAATGTATCTGTGACTAACATTTTATAGACAAGAAGTTTGCATCAGGATCAGGAGAAGAGGAAGACATAGGGTCACCCTCGAGGTCTAAGGTACTGTCTATTGTTGTAAGTATCAAGTCATGTTAAATCATAAAATAGGATGTTTGGGCTTTACTTTCTCACCTGTCCATACACCCATAAAGGAATTATTTTCTCACCTATCAGTGTATAATGAATACAATAAATATGTGCGAAGTCGATTACTGCTGCATATACAATTCTGCTAATTTGCAGAATTCATTTAAGAAGCCAGTGTAGTATAGTTTAAATATATATATATATATATATGGAATGACTTTGGGTTCTGAAGATAAGTTTGTCTAAACACTAAAAAATTATTCCAGATCAACCTAGTAGCAAATGTTATGATTCCATGGTATATCTGAATGTGTAAATATCCCAATGAGATGCAGAGATAAAGCGGTTAAACTGTAGGGGTTTTTTTTGTTTTTTTTACAACTTGGAACTTGAAAAGATAATGCCTAGGACTTGAAGGTGTTGATATGTTTTGCTCATCAGTGTAAACCTACAAAGAACATTTTCTGAGAAGGAAAAGCATGGGAAATAGTATATGTGTGGAAGTATAAAAACAACAATTTGGTTTAATAGTGTTTTAGTTCTTTTTAATAATAGAATGCAATGAGTTTCTTTGTGGCAGCCATGCTTGTAGTAACATAAGTAAAAAACAATAATGATATATTTCAAGGCAACTGTGAAAAGAGATGAGAATGGCCTGACCTCTTAGGTAGAAGCAGCTGGTACATAGTGGTACCAGCACTGATTGGAAGTCAAAAGATATGTTAGTATCCTGGTCCTGTCACTTATTAGCTATGGAATCTTGGGAAAATTTATTTAACTAATTTGAATGTCAGTGACCTTTTTCATAAAGACAGTATTAATATCTATCTCATAGGTATGCATAATGTACAAATGTGGTAAGAAATGTGAAAATATTTTGTAAACTGGAATATGTACATACAAATATGAGACAAAATGAATCACAGTGAGATTCGGTGCCTTAATACATACTGTGAGTCTTTTTTTTAACCTATAGTCAATACTGTCAATTAGTCAATACTGTCAAGTAATCACTACTGTCAGGAGAACAATGAGAAAGTATAGCATAGGTATGTGGATTTCCAGTTTGAAGTAAAGTTTTAGTAGTCTAATACTAGTGATATCCTATGGGAATAGAGTGATTTGACACTCAAGACCTCCTGATAAGATTTTAAATATTTTGACCTTGAATAAATTTATGTCATTGTGTACTGTGTGCTAGGCAGTTATACACTGAATACACAAGATGAGGGCTTATCCTAGAGTAGTAGGAACACAAAAACAAAGAAACAACAAACACATAAGTCACTACAAGTGCTTCCTATGAAAAAAACAGAAAATGTTCCATTACAGGAAATTGAGGAAGTTTGTAGTTAGGATTGGGATGGGAGTGGGAGTAGAATTGTGTAGTCAGAGAAGATCTGTCCAGGTGCCATTTAAGCTGCCAGCTAGAGGCTGAGAAGAAGAAAGCCATGTGAAAATCTAAAAGGAAGATGTTCTGGACAGAGAGAAAAATGGATTATAATTGTTCATCATTTTGCTTTTAACATCCTCAAAAGACCAGGAAGCAGAAAGTGGGGCAACCATCATCATCATCATCATCATTTTTAATGTGTAGGAAAGAAAATGTGCAAATGAGAATCTGGAACATTTTAGATGCTTTGTGAATAAATGTTCTTATTCTTCCCTTTTATTAAGGCTTGCTCTAGGTTTTTAAGTTATTTCTTAAATGGAAAAGAGTGGCAGAGTATATCTAATATTTGCTTGCTTTTATTTAAACATAACATAAACAAAAGTTTTTTTTTACTACTTTGACATTTTATTCAACCATTTTTATATCAGTAAAAATTTTGTCAAGAAATACTTTAATTTTATCAGGCCCTTGTTTGCCTAAATGAAACAGCTTCATCAGTGTTCTGTTTATACACAACCTGGAGTACTCCAAAGTTTCTTATGCCAGTAATCTTCTTTTAATAAAAAAATTCTATAATTGGGAATATTTTAAATGTTAAATGCTGTAATATAGCAAATGTATTGTATTTTTATAATGCCCTCTTTTGATGGAGATTGCAAATTAGAGTTAGGTCTTTTGAAGTGAGTGACTTGTTGAAATATGCACGTAAGTTAATACTTCGCCCGTAAATAGGTTTCCTTTTGCCTTCCATACCCAGTTTTACAGAGTCAATAGCCTAATGAAGATAAAAGATAAGCTCCATCTAAAAAGCATATGTGAGGTTCTCTATTGAAATGTTTTGGTTTCCAGACTGGGCACAGTGGCTCATGCCTGTAATCCCAGCACTTGGGAGGTCAATGCAGTTGGATCACTTAAAGTCAGAAGTTTGAGACCAGTCTAGTCAACATGATGAAAACTCCATCTCTACTAAAAGTGCAAAAATTAGCTGAGCACAGTGGCATGAGCCTGTAATCCCAGCTCCTCAGGAGGCGGAGGCAGAACAATCGCTCAAACCTGGGAGGCAGAGATTGAAGTGAGCTGAGATCATGCCATTGCACTCCAATCTGGGCTCTCAGAAAAAAAGCAAAGCGAAGAAAAGAAATGTTTTGGTTTTCAATACCTGCTTCTCTTATTTTTAAGTCTAATTGCTTTAAATATAGGAAATTTGGGTTTTTAAAATAAGCGATTAGGAAATCTTTATGCAACTAATTATTGTTATTTTGTATTGAAACTCATTGTTGATATTAATTTTAACAGAGTATCTCGAAGACTGTTCTCCAGATGCATGGTGGTCATTCATCTGGGCCTGTTGATCAGCAGAGGAAAAATGCAGTAAATGGAAATGTAGATGGTAATAAACATATTTTATTTTTAAAAACATTTTACATAATGTTTATTTGAAAACACCATCACTGATGTAGTATAACAAGCAAAGGAAGATCACTTACCAAATGTACAGTAAGAAAAGTGAAAGGTGATACGTTTTCTATATTAACACACATATACAAGAGAGTAAATTGAGAATGCCACTAAAGGAGTTTAATTAATAGCTCCATTTCAAGATACTCCAAGATCTGAGGAAAGTCAGGAAATAAGAAGAAAGGAGAGGAGGGAATGAAGAATGAGAAAGGCAGTGAGTACAGGGAGTAAATGAAAGAAACAGAAGGTTCATATAATGGAAGGTGGCAAACCCAATAATTCCTTAGAAAAAGGAAGAAAAGGGTTTTAGAAAAGTGGAAAGAATATGTAGTGGGCTTCTAGCACCAAAGCTTGTTGGAGAATTAGAGCAAAATTTTTAATTCTTCCTGTCTTCCTCTTTGATGGAAGTACCTGACCAGGCAGAGCTATGTTTTATCTACCTCATGTGAATGTAAGCATATATGGTCATCTATGCATGCATACAATTTGATGTCATATGCAGTCAATATGGAACAGAACTTCTCACACTTCAATAAATCATCTTGGGGACTTCTTAAAATGCACATTCTGATTCAGCAGGCCTGGGATTCTGCATTTCTATTAAGTTTTCAGCTGATGCTGATGCTGCTGATCCTCAAGCCATGCTCTGATTGGCAAGATTATAGACTTTTTTCTATATAGAAATTGGAAAGAAGAGCCACTGGGGACCAGTTCAATAATAACAGGCTTAGAGGACAGCATGATTTGGCTTTTATTTCAGGTCATAATTTTAGCCAGAGAGGAAGTAGAGGGAGATGAAGAAATAGAAATTATAGATGTAAGATACTATTGCTAAAATAAGAGGGGAGACTTGGTGGGAGTAATCCATAAAAAAATGTAGAATGGGAAGAACCAAGACCACAGATGTAGAAATTTTCACAAGGTAGATGGATTATAAGCAAGGATGAGGGGGAAAGAAAGAAATTAGCTAGATAAATTTGAATTTTCTGATGAGAAAGTGTATATCCATCCACATCATTGCAAATGACAGGATCTCATTCTTTATTATGGCTAGACAGTACTCTATTGTGTATATGTACATTTTCTTTGTCCATTTGTTGGTGTACAAATAGATTGCTTTTAAATCTTGGCTATTGTGAAGAGTGCTGTGATAAACATAAGAAGGCAGATATCTCTTCAATTTACTAATTCCCCTGCTTTTTAGTATATGCCTAGCAACGGGATTGCTGGATCAGATGGTAGTTTTATTTTTAGTTTTAGGGTTTTTTTTTTTCTTTTAGACAGAAGCAAAAAAAATATGCCTTCTGGTCTCAAGCAATTCTCGCACATCAGCCTCCCAAGTAGCTGGGACCACAGGTGTGTACCACCATGCCTGCCTAATTTTTTTCATTTTTAGTACAGATAGGGTTTCACCCTATTGGCCAGGCTGGTCTCAAACTCCTATGCTCAAGCAATCCTCTTGCTTTGGTGTCCCATACTTCTGGTATTACAGATGTGAACCCCCACACCTGGCCTATTTTTAGTTTTTGAGGACTCTCCACTGTATTCTCCATAGTGGTTGTAGTAATTTACATGCCCACATGTATGAACGTTCCCCTTTCTCCACATCTTCGTCAGCATTACAACCCATCATTTGGATAAAAGCCATTTTAACTGAGGTGGTGAGATGATATCTCACCATCATTTTGATTTGCATTTATCTGGTGATCAGTGCTGTTGAGCACCCATCCATGTATCTATTTACCATTGGATTGCTATTGGATAGCAGTTCAAGACATAACAGGACCAAGGGAAAGTGTTGTTTTGCTTTTATTTTTGAATATGTTTCCAGCCAGAGGGTAAGATTATGAAATAGAAATTATTGATGTGAGATACTACTACCTAATGAAGAGGAAAGAAGTGGTGGGCATAATCCAGGAGACATATATGTAAGGAGAAGGAAGACCACAAATTGAGAGGCTTTTCCAATGACAAGGGGATTGTGAAGGGGGAATGTGAGAGGAAAAAAATAAGCTATCTCAGTAGTTTTAGAGTTAGTGATGAGGACACTTGAGAGAAGTCAATTCAGATGGCTTTAGTATGTTTGCACTCAGGACATTAGATTATCACTGCCCTTGAAATTACTGGAAGGAGGAGGGAGTGCAAGAATTGGGGTAAACCACAGCAACTCATTGCTGCACTTTATATCACACATCAAAGATATAGGTTAAATTTATATTAGGTAATCAAATGGAATTCATTTGAACAAAAGACCTTTCACTGTTTTTGTTAAGAAAGCTATGTTTTAATTAGATACCTGTTCCATAAAAGTACTTTAAAGACTAGCATGGTATACCCAATCATAGTAATTTCAGAAACAAAAAGTATAGGATTTATTCCTTGAATAACAAAACTGATGTTTTCAATAAACATTGTACTGCTTTTGAAACATAAAAGTTTATTATAATGAATGTGAAATTTTTATTTTTGCAATAAATATTTACACATTGAAAGCTGCTTATACATTATTTTGTGATGCGTTTAATATACCATCTTGCATGAGTGGATCAAGAAACTTTGAGACAAGGCCAAACTACAGTATGCAAGCAAGAAGAAGAGAAAATCAAAGACTGCATGTTCTCACTCGTAAGTGGGTGATGAACAATGAGAATACATGGATACATGGAAGGGAACATCACACACTGGGGCGTGTTGGATGATTAGGGGATGGGTAGGGGGATAACACAGGTTGGGGAGATTGGGGGAGGGAAAGCATTAGGAGAAATTCCTAATGTAGATGATGGGTTGATGGGTACAGTAAACCACCATGGCCCATATATATCTATGTCACAAACCTGCATAATCTGCACATGTACCTCAGAACTGAAAGTATAATTTTTAAAAAATTTTGTCAGAATAGTGGAGGAAAACATTTGGATATCAAGAACAAAGTGTAAACTAATGAAGGGGTAAAAAGAAAGTCACATTGGAAATTATTAGTACTAAATAGTAGACAGTAAAGGAAAATATACAATGTTACTTTACCTGTTTCTTTTGGATTTTTATTTTTTTGTTTCTGATGGTTTTGTTAGTTGAGTGGATGAAATTGTCAGTGAATCTATGAGATGATTATATGGCTTGAATCTGGTGGCATCTAATGTCTTGCCAAGTGGTTTGTTGAAGTTTTAGAGAATAAGAAGTATTAAAGAAAGAACCCATAGCCAATATCATACTGAATGGGCAAAAACTGGAAGCATTCCCTTTGAAAACTGGCACAAAATAAGGATGCCCTCTCTCAACACTCCTATTCAATATCGTATTAAAAGTTCTGGCCAAGGCAATCAGAAGAAGTAAAGGAAAAGAAGTAGACGGTATTCAATGAGGAAAAGATGAATTCAACTTGTCTCTATTTGCAGACGACGTTATTATATATTTAGAAGACCCCATAATCTCAGCCCAAAATCTTAAGCTGATAAGCAACTTCAGCAAAGTCTCCAGATACAAAATCAATGTGCAAAAATCACAAGTATTCCTATACGCCAATAACAGACAAAACAGAGCCAAATCATGAGTGAATTCCCATTCACAATAACTACAAAGAGAATAAAATACCTAGGAATACAACTAACAAGGTATGTGAAGGACCTCTTCAAGGAAAACTACAAACCACTGCTCAGGCAAATAAGAGAGGACACAAACAGATGGAAAAACAGTCCAGGCTCATGGTTAGGAAGAATCAATATTGTGAAAATGTCCATACTGCCCAAAGTAATTTATAGATTCAATGCTATCCCCAACAAGCTACCATTGACTTTCTTCACAGAATTGGAAAAAAAAAACATCTTAAGCTTCATATGGAACCGAAAAAGAACCTACCTACATAGTCAAGACAATCCTAAGCAAAAAAAAAAAAAAAAAACAAAAAAAAAAAACTGGAGGCATCATGCTACCTAACTTCAAACTATACTACAAGTCTACAGTAATCAAAACAGCATGGTACTGCTACCAGAACAGAGATATAGACCAATGGAACAGAACAGAGGCCTCAGAAATGAAGCCACACATCTATAGCCATCTGATTTTTGACCAGCCTGACAAAAACAAGCAATGGGGAAAGGATTCCCTAATTAATAAATGGTGTTGGGAAAACTGGCTAGCCATAGACAGAAAGCTGAAACTGAATCTCTTCCTTACAACTTATAGAAAAATTAACTCCATATGGATTAAAAATGTAAACATAAGACGTAACACCCTAAAATCCCTCAAAGAAAACCTAGGCAATACCATTCAGGACATAGGCATGGGCAAGGGCTTCATGACTAAAACACCAAAAGCAAGGGCAACTAAAGCCAAAATTGACAAATGTGATCTAATTAAACTTAAGAGCTTCTGCACAGCAAAAAAACAAACAAAAAACTATCATTAGAGTAAACTGACAACCAACAGAATGGGAAAAAATTTTTGCAGTCTACCGATCTGACAAAGGGCTAATATCCAGAATCTACAAAGAACTTAAACCAATTTACAAGTTAAAAAAAAATCAAAAAAGTGGACAAAGGATATGAACCGACACTTTTCAAAATAAGACATTTATGCTGCCAAAAAAACATGAAAAAAAGCTCAGCATCGCTGGTCAGTAGAGAAATACAAATCAAAAGCATAATGAGATACCATCTCATGCCAGTTAGAATGGCGATCATTAAAAAGTCAGGAGACAACAGATGCTGGAGAGGCTGTGAAGAAATAGGAATGATTTTATACTGCTGATGGGAGTGTAAATTAGTTCAACCATTGTAGAAGACAGTGTGGTGATTCCTCAAGGATCTAGATATAGAAATTCCATTTGACCCAGCAATCTCATTACTGGGTACATACCCAAAGGATTATAAATCATAGTATTATAAAGACACATGGACACTATGTTCATTGCAGCACTGTTTACAATAGCAACAACTTGGAACCAACCCACTGCCCATCTATGATAGACTGGGTAAAGAAAATGTGGCACATATACACCATGAAATACTATGCAGCCATAAAAAAGGATGAGTTAATGTCCTTTGCAGGGACATGGATAAAGCTGAAAACCATCATTCTCAGCAAACTGACATAAGAACTAAAAAACACTGCATGTTCTCATAAATGGCTGTTGAACAATGGGAACACATGGACACAGGGAAGGGAACATCACACACTGGGGCCTGTTGGGGGGTTGGGGGCTAGGGTAGGGTTAGCAGGAGGTGGAGAGATTGGGGAGGGATAGCATTGGGAGAAGTAAGTGTGGATGATAGGGTGATGGATGCAGCAAACAACCATGGCACATGTACACCTATGTAACAAACCTGCAGGTTCTGCACATGTACCCCACAACTTTAATAAATAAAAAAGAATCAAATATTCCACCACAGATTAAGCTTTATTTAAACTCTGATTTTATAAAAGAAAAATATATGTTTAAATTTATGTTTATAAAGACTATAGCTTTTATCTAACTGTTCTAAGTAGTTCATTTTAATTAAATACATGGATTTTTTTTTTTTTTTTTTTTTTTTTTTACCAGAACAAGACTTAAAAATAACATCAGAGGGAGAACAAGAAAATCTTCAAGAATGTGAAAATATCCAGCAACAGGTATGTAAAACTTTAATTTCAAATTTCTGGTTTTCTTTGCTTTCATAACATAGCATATTTCAAATGAAATTACCTTTGGACTGTCCTTTTAGAATCAGTTGAATATAATATTTAATTTTAAACCATTTTAACTGGTTATGAATCTTAAAATATTCTCAGAATGCATAATGATTTACAGTTAATCTTTTCCCTTCAAAATGAAGCCCAAAGTTCCTGAATATTGTTTACTCTTCCTTTTTTGTAACCTCCTAATTAATAAAGAATCATCAAATATTGACTTATAATTTCAAGCAATCAAAATTATGAACAATTCAATAGGGATGGCTGCCGACTTGGGTTCATGTTAAATGAGTAATCTTTACTGATGGTTCAAAATTTGCAATTTTATATTACTAGTCACTAATCCCATGATTAAAAATGTATTCTCCATTGTGATTTTTAATTGATTGCAACATCTATGTTCAAGGAGAGAATAGGGTCATAAACTCAACCCAACTGCCTATCAAGAGAACCAGACTGCAGAATGGAAGCTTTGGTGTTAGGGAACAAAGAGTAACTTTCTAACTTATTTCAATATAGGAAATTTGTAACTCTTGTCAAAAAATTTGTAATCCACTGTCATTAGTGGACTTTAGAATATATTGAAACTTAGCACTATAGCCTGTATAGAATAGCTACATAACACTATCATATTACAGTATATAATTTGAATTTAATTGTAAGAATTTGGCTTTGTTTCTGATTAGTGTTGATTTTGATTTCTATTAATTTAAAGTTTGCCTACTCACCAATTAGTAATCTTTGGAAAAAAAGCACTCAGGTGTGCACTGTTCAGTATCACTATGTCAGGTACAGTGAGATAAAATCTTAAGATGCCTTTGTGATACTGCCAATCATCTTTTAATTCATTTTTTGGTAAATTAAACACTTCATGAATTAATCTTAGTCCAAACACACAGTTACAACGTTAAGATTGATGGTTTATATTTTCCCCTATTTTAGGCTAATGCAAATATTTTTAACTTATTAATTACAATCCAATAATTGGGAGTAGATACAGAGTAAGAAGTTTAAGTTAAATTTTTATTTTTAATTTTTATTTTTCCATACTTTATTATTTATTGGCAAAGTTGTCTTTAAAACATGCACCCTGATAGAAAAGACATCTGACAAACAAAAACTAGCAAATTAATCTTCCACTTTTGCATCTTCAAAAAATGTATCAACAAACAGAAGTGAACACGTACTGTAATAGAGTGCATATAACTGTATATACAGGAGTCCTTTGTGTGCAAAAATAGGAGAAAATGTGGATAAAGCAAGGCAAATGAGGGTGGAAAAAACTTTAAAACTCATCACAATTGAGTTAAAGCAGAGTTTGAATGAAATTTGTGAAGAATCCAAAACTTCTGATTGTTTGGAGGAAGAGTCAATACATGAAGAAGAAACATAAAGAACATACCCTCTAATGTGACAAAAAATATTTGTGATTGTCAAGAAAAAATGCATCTGGGGTAGTCATATGTATAGTATTCCAGTTATTTTTTGAACAAAAATAGTTCAGTCTCATAAATGTCATTCCATTTCAGTTCTATTCTGGGTCCTCAGAATATCCTTGCCAGTCATCTTCTGATTTTTATTTAAATGTAAATAAAATATGCTGTGAAAATAATAGCAAACCAATGCCGAACATGTTTTTAACATAGACCAGTAGAATTTTTATAATGACCCAGAAAGTACAAAAAGCAAAGAACCCAGAAGTAGTTATCATTGGAAAAAAAAGAAGACCAAGAGTGTTATAGGCACAGGCTGAAAAAATAATAAAAATAACACTAATTGCAAATTTGACATCAGAAATGTGCCTCAGTATTGTGATCCAAAAAGCCTTTTAGATTTGTGGCTTACCTCCTACAGAGAAATGAAACATGTAAATAAACAAAAAGGCATGGTGTTTCTGTTGCTACAGACATTTGTAAGAATACAAAACCAATACAGAACTGGTTCCAGAAACCATTGTATCATAATTGCAGTGCAAAAGCTATAAGAGAATACAACTTGGATTAGAAAATGTGCATTCCTCATAAGTGAAGGAAAAATAAAATCCTTTGTGAACATGCAAGTACTCAGAGATTTCGTCACCACCAGGCCAGCTTTACAAGAGCTCCTGAAAGAGGCTCTACACATATAAAGGAACAACCAGTACCAGCCACTCCAAAAACATGCCAAATGGTAGAGAGAATCAACACAATGAAGAATCTGCATCAAATAGTGGGCAAAACAGCCAGCTAGCACCAAAATGGCAGTATGAAATTCACACGTAACAATATTAACTCTAAATGTAAATGGACTAAATGCCCCCATCAAAAGACACAGACTAGCAAATTGGATAAAAGGCCAAAACCCATCGGTGTGCTGTATCCAGGAAACCCATCTCACATGCAAGGATACACAAAGGCTCAAAATAAAGAAATGGAGGAAAATTTACCTAGCAAATGGAGAGCAAAAAAAAGCAGGAGTTGCAATTCTCATCTCTGATAAATTAGACTTTAAAGCAACAAAGATCAAAAGAGACAAAGAAGGACATTACATAATGGTAAAAGGATCAATGCAACAAGAAGAGCTAACGATCCTAAATATATATGCACCCAATACAGGAGCACCCAGATATATAAGGCAACTTCTTAACGACTTACAAAGAGACTTAGACTCTCACACAATTGTAGTAGGAGACTTTAACACCCCATTGTCAATATTAGACAGATCAACCAGACAGAAAATTAACAAGGATATCCAGGACTTGAACTCAGACCTGGAACAAGCAAACCTAATAGACATTTACAGAACTCTCCACCCCAAATCCACAGAATATACATTCTTCTCAGCACCACGTCACACATAGTCTAAAATTGGCCACATAATTGGGAGTAAATCACTCCTCAGCAAATGCAAAAGAACGGAAATCGTAACAAACAGTCTCTCAGACCACAGTGCAATCAAGTTAGAACTCAGAATTCAAAAACTAACTCAGAACCGCACAGCTTCATGGAAACTGAACAACTTGCTCTTGATTGTTGACTGGATAAACAATGAAATGAAGGCAGAAATAAAGATGTTCTTCGAAACCAACGAGAATGAAGACACAACATACCAGAATCTCTGGGACACATTTAAAGCAGTGTCTAGAGGAAAATATATAGCAATAAGTGCCCACATGAGAAGCAAGGAGAGATCAAAAATTGACACCCTATCGTCAAAACTGAAAGAGCTAGAGGAGCAAGATCAAAAAATGCCAGATGTAGGTGATGGGGAGGAAGGCAGCAAATCACACTGCCACGTGTGTACCTATGCAACAATCCTGCATGTTCTTCACATATACCCCAAAACCTAAAATGCAATAAAATAAATAAATGGGAAAAAAAAAAGAAAATGTGCATTCCTCTCCACCACATAGTGACAGAGCATCAAAAGTACATGTAGAAGAATAGTTACAGCACAATATACAAAGATTTAAGCATGGACTAGGCATATTACAACTAGAGTTCCTGACTTTGAAGAAAGAAAAGTTCAACTTGAGAAAGACTTGGAGGGTCATTTGCTGTCACTTGTTTTTTTCTCTTGATCAATTATTTGGTGCATTCTAATTTTTTACTTATGAAAATCTCTTGTGTAAAATGGGATTTCTAAATTCATAATTGTGTGTAGAAATATATTATTTCTCTTTCTAAACGATAGAAGTTCAGGAAAACATTCTACAATCTTTGTTCCTTAATCAACCCAAATCTATCTATCTGTTTTCGAAGTGGCACAGAGATTGAGAAACTAATCTATTCATATACCGTAGATATGGATACTTCTGAACTAGGGTTAGCATATAGGAAATTGCTTAATGAATGTAATACGCTCTGGGATGTAACTTTTTCTATTGACTTTAAGATGATTTGCCCTTACTGAATAAAGTGGGAAATCAATGCGAAGGAAGCAATGACTAAGAAGTGATATAAAAATGTATCTATCCTTGAGAATTGGAACAAATATTCATAGTCAAAGGAATCTGTATGTTGTATGTTGTGCTTTCACATGTGCAAGTTGATCCATTTAACTCAATATGTTGGGGCTTATAATTTCATCATGATCACCTTAAATATGTTTGAAAACAAATGTATATAGATACCTCCATTTATTTTTCTAACCACCATGTTTACATGTTTCTGTCAAAATCAGATCTTAATGTGATTTTATTTAATAGAGTATGATATGTATTAGCATGTATAACTTTATCATGTAAGTACCATAGATTCTCAGCTAAAAATTTCGTTTTTGACTCCAAAGTAGAAACCTGATTTCTGTACGTCGAGTTTTAAAGATAAACAAAAATCTGGCAATACCTTTAAAAGGAAAAGTAGATGAGGCCTCTCAGCCCCTGCTGAGGCATTAAGTTACTTTCGCAGGATCATACTTTTAATTCTTCTGATTAATTTAATGAATTTATCAGGTAATTTATGTGACTCCACATTATAAAATAGTATTATCAGTTTCTGTGCCATAAAATGCTAGGAAATGCCACGTTAGGTTTAGGAGCTTTGGATGAGTCATTTAATCTTTAGATAATAGGGCTAAAGTAGATAAATACTCCAGCTATATAATGTCGTGGTTACTGAATGTGAAATTTGGAAAGCATCTCGTTTTCCAGAACTCTATCCTAGCATCTCAGCAATTTCACTCTGCTTCTTCTGTAGTTTCAAACTTTGGTTCCTGTTTTTCAGCAAGCACCTTCACATTTTTTATATCCTAGCATCCAAATGAAAAAAGAAAGATCAAAGACAGTGGGGAAAACTTATTGCCAAAAAGGGAAAATTTCCTTTCTGTTCCTGAAGTCCCACAGTGGCACATTCTCTAAATCTGGCCATTAGTGTAAACTCCAGGAGGTAAAGATAGAAGAGGACAGATTTCATGCCTTTGTTCTTTTATTTCTCTATTTCTGCTCATCACAAAGGGGTGAAAATTTATATTAGACAGCAAGGAGTGGAGTGAATAAAAGCATAAATTTCGAATGAGCCCTTTTTCAAAGTGTGGAAATTTTTGTTTTATTCACTCAGAAATGATTCAGACTTTATATGAATATTGATGAAAAAATCATAACGTAAGTTATGGTAATAATTATATAGTGATAAAATTAAAGTAAATACAAAACATTTTAATGAATATTATCATGACAGAGTCAAGTGATAAAATGAATGAAAACAAAAATGTTCTATTAGATAAAATAATGGTAATTATTATCAGTGTCAAACTTTCATTGAAGGTTGCAGAAAAAATGAAAACATGCAGAAATAAGAAAGTGGAAGTGTCAAGAAACCTAGATGCCGATTACAGTGACAGTGATGATAATGAATTAATCCAAGAAAGAAGGAGCAGAAAACCTGATAATCCTCAATTCTCCAGGCCGAAGAGTGAAGAGTATAATAGGTAAGACTATAGCAATATTTAATAATATAAAACATCTTAAGTATAATAAATCTGTGTTAAGGATTTTATATATGTTTCATGCTTATATATGTTAAGAATTTTCATTATAGCATCATCATATCAAAAAGCTGGAGATAGTCTAAAATCCCATTAATAAGGAAATAGGTAAATCATCATACCCATTAAATAACGTAGCATGCAACCCTCTTTTTAAAATTAGGTTGGATCTATAGTATACTGATTACTTCATCAGTAATGTATATTTAAAACATTTAGTTTGATAACATATCTTAAGTAAATTTTGTCAGAATATGACATTGTAATATCTTGATACTTGTAATATCTACTGAGTTGCAAAAGGAAACTACGTGCTACCTTGGCACTTTATGTTAGCAACAAAATTGCTAGTTATGACATTTGTTTCTTGTTCTCAGTGCATGAGTGCTCAAATACTGATTCTCACAATAATCTGAATATTGTTGAGGGATGCACATGAAGATCTGTATTCCATGTAAATATTCAGTGTATTGATAAAACTTGTTAAAATATTTCAAAGGATCTTTGATCTACCGAGTCAGGAGTTCACCCAATTTTTTCCTGTAAAGAGTAACTACTTTAGGCTTCGTGGACCAGAAGGTCTCTGACATCTTTCATAGACAACAGATAAATAGGTAGCACTGTGTTCCAAGAAAACTTTACTTACAAAAACAGGCAGTGGGCTGAATTTGGCCCACAAGTACTGATTTGCTGACTCCTATGCCAAAACCAAGGTGCTGCTAATGCAGTGAACCTCCTCTTTCGAAGCACTTTAAATGCATCCGATTATCCTTTCAAAAGATATTTTAGTATGCACAACACCATATTTTGCAACAGTGACTTCCTATTATATAATTTATAAAATTCGGTAGACAAAATAAGATTTGAATTTTTACCTTGTTTTATCTTAAATAATTTATTATTTTAATATGACTAACCATTTTGTATATTTGATGAGGATAAAATATCTCAGAGTTGAGTGATTTTTCTCAAGTAAGAAATACTGCCCTTTAGTCTTTCTGTGGTCATTATAAGCATGGCCAAAATGATAACCACCTTTATAATCTAGAAATGTTCAAGAGGTGTTTTAGTTCTATAATTTTATGATGTCATGATGTTATTTAGTACCTTAGTCTGACTTGCCATGTATGTCTGGCTTGACATATATGTGTGTGTGTGTGTGTGTGTGTGTGTGTGTGTGTATGTGTGTGTTTGTGTGCGTATAATTTTTAAAAGCTTTTAAGATGTTAAAACATACTGTGTAACTAATCATTAGTCACTATTAATCATTATGAAATGATTGTAAATGTCCTTAAAATTAACCTATCTGTACTCATGGACTCAAGTTTCCTTTCCATTCACTCTTGAACTCACCACCATAATTTTCACTCTCACCACTCCTCCAAAATTATTCTCAAGGTTGTCACTGATTTTTCACTGTAATACATCTAGACATAATTTTTTTAGATCTCACTTTATGTAGCTTATCAGCAATACTTGACCCAATGGAAAACTCTCTCCTCTATAACACTTTCTTCACTGACCCTCAGAATCTCACTCACTCGACTAGATTTTCGTCCTGACTTTCTAGTCCATCCATCTTAGCCTGTTTTGCTTACATCTTCTCATCTTCTACCTTTTATAGGTTGAAGTGACCCAGGGCTCAGTGCTTGAGGTTTTTTCTTGTGACTTTTACTAGCTTGTATATGCTAATAATTTTCAAATTTATACCTCTAGCCCATTTCAGGCCTATATATCAACCTGTCTACTTGATATCTCTCCTTGATTAATTATTGGGTACGGCAAATTTATCAGGTCCAAAGTCTAGCTACCAATGGTCTTTCTCCTACCTGCCCCTCGTGTAGTCTTTTGCTGTTCCATTAATCACAACTCTTGCAAATGCTCTGCCCAAAACCCTGCTGTCATCCTTGACTCACACATGCTTTCTCTGTCTCCCTCCCCTGACCCCCACCTCTGACACTCCACAGCTAAGATGTTAGCAGATCTGGTCAGGACTAACTTCACAATATATCCAAAAACCAGTCACATCTTTCATGTCTAAGCAATTCCACTATCATCTGATCAGCCGTCTAGATTAGCATAATAGACTGCTGATTGGTCTTCCTGTTTCTCTGTGTTTAATCCTGTTTTCATCAATTCTTAACCCAGTGAACCTATTGAAACATGTCAGATTATGTCACTCTTTTGGTTAAAAACTTCCAGTTGCTTCCCATTTCACTCAAAATATATGCCAAATTTTCTCCTAATACTCAAAATGCAGCACAGGATCTGACCTCTTATTTTCCTGATTTAAGCTTTTGCCTTTCTAGTCTGGTTTATCCTGGTGTACGGTTTTAAACAAAAATACTCACTTAAAGTACAGTTTGATATGTGTTCATTCTGACAATTTTACCTGGCAATTATATGCTCTTTATGGACTCTTTTGGCTCTTTTTAATGAACTATACTCTCTATATTAATAGTTTTCTAATTAGGGAGAAAAGCCCAATATTGTGGTCACTCACTATTCTATTACTGGTAATTATGATCATTTCAATCATGGTACAAGGGATCATAGGAGTTGCACACTTCACTGGTATTTTATTAGGAATAATAAAATATTCATGTGGTAAATGCAATGGATGTAAAAGTTCTTTTCAAAGAATTATGAGCCTTTAGCTTCTGAAATAAAGAGATGAAAGTTGGATTTGGCCAGGTGTGGTGGCTCACTCCTGTAATCCTAGCTTTTTGGGAGGCCAGGGCAGGTGGATCATTTTAGGTCAGAAGTTCAAGAACAGTCTGGCCAACATGGTGAAATCCCATCTATACCAAAAATACAAAAATTAGCTGTCAGTAGTGGCGCGCCTGTAATCCTAGCTACTTGGGAGGCTGAGGCAGAAGAATTGCTTGAGCCTGAAAGGCAGAGGTTGCAGTGAGACGAGATATTGCCACCGCACTCCAGTCTGGGCAACAGAATGAGACCCTGTCTAAAAAAAAAAAAAGTTTGGTTTATTGCTTTCTCTAGTAAGAAATCTGTGCTGGTCAGGCACAGTCTCTTATAATGTAGCAGCTACTAAGCCTTATAAAAGGTTTGTGGAATAGTGAAGTTGAAGGCTTGGCTCATAGGCATAACTGGGTTGACATCATCTGGAGCGTTGTGGTTATCTGTCTAAGACTGTTATGGATTAGTTGGCACTTCCAGGCATGCTGATTGGAATTAGTTTGTCTCTGGATGTCTTCAGAGGCAGGTGGCTGACATTCATTGGTTGGTGTTAGTGAGGCCAGTGGTCATTGATTGACTAGATTAAAAATTGGTTCCGGGTGGCTACCTGTTACCATGGCTACAGGTCAGTTTTCCTTAGTTTGTGGCAATGTTAATCAGATGTTTTCTGTTTGAAAGTTGACTTCTATCAACTATGTTCAAATGAACTCTATTTTATATTCCAGAATTATATACTTATTTTTTAAGTTTGGGTCAAGAGAAATTGTTTGATAATGATCTCAGAAAGATAGTTTTTAGAAGCTTAGTCTTAACCAGAAGACTCATCTACATATATTTTTGGTAAATAATTGCTGGATTTATTTTTGTTTTTTGTGTTTTTAGGGGCTCAGGCTGAACTCCTAACATAATAATCTCCAATGGGAAATTTCAGCCTTTTTGTAAATTTATGTAGGTATATGATGGTGATATTCATGTGTTTACAATTTTCTGCTGACAAATCCAGCTTTTCATATTAGGAATAGATACCACACTGTAAGTATACAAAAGTTTCTAAATCATTCTATTTTCAAACAAAATTCTAATTAATCAGAATAGTGCTATTTTTGAACTATATATAAAGACATATAGGTATTTTAAAAGCCAGTGTTTTTTCCCCTTTATGGTAATTTCACAGTTTCTTTTAGGTTATATGTGCTTCATAGTATTCTGAAAACTTAATTTAAATGAAACACGTTAAAACAATAACTATGAAACAAATCCAGCTATGACCCCATGTCTAAGAGTCATTGCCTTGCAGGCAGGGAGCTCCAGCATTTTAGCGTAGCATTCAAGTTTAGTGTAGCATTCTTTTCTCAGTGTTTGCTTTCATGTATTTTACATTTGACCTTTCAACTTCCCAGGAAACAACTGGATGCCATGTGCTTAATCCCTGTGCTCACATTCTATTCTCTATATAAAATGGATTTCTCCTACTGTTTTTGTTTTTGTTTTGGCCTGGTGAGCTCCTCTTGTCTTTTGCCTCTTCCATAATGTCTTTCTCATGCTCACATATAATTTTTTCTGGTAGTCTTCCAGAAAAGTAATGATATCAGTTTTAGTGAAGTGGTTAAGGTTGAAGGAGGATAAAATCTCTAATTTTCTTATCTTATTGTGAAGGAATATTAGCAGTGATTACTTTCTCTGGAAATAAAATAGTGTAGACAGCCTAATCTAGAGAATATTCAACGGTGTCAATGCTGCTGGAAGACTGATTAAAACGAAGAGTTTCAACTGGTTGCCATGGAACCCTGACTAAGCACAGACAAATCTTGAGAGAACTTTGACTGCAAAAGGGAGTAGAGAAATGGGTAACAAGTAAAAGAAGAAGAATACAATATTCAAGTGACTTGTTTCTTTTTCAATTTTAAAATGGAAGCCGTTAGAGTATTCTTGTTTGCTGTTCGGAGTGATCCATTAGAGAAGTAATGTGTTTTTAGAATTTAGTTTTGTTTGCATGTCTGAGAATTGGAAAGTTATCTTTTAAATATCTATAGTAAATCAATTATTTGTACAATTTCTACTCATGTATAGTTTTATCAGAAGAGGTGTTTTTTCAGAATTCGTTCAGGAATGGAATATTTTAATGTAATGGTACATGAAAATGATGACCTAAAGTTAAACTCACATTCATATATTTTTAGAAATTCTATAATAAACATACAAACACTTGGTCATATTGGATAGAATTTAAATATGCCTTGATGATGTATGTATCACAGTACCTTTGAAAGTAGCATCACAAATAACTGTGCCAAGGTAGTCTAAAATAACAGGTGTGTCACTTTTATGGTTGTTCAGATGCTGGGAAGGGGAAGCTTTCTACTTAATAATAGAAAAGCAAACTGCTGAAAAAATAATTGCAGACTGTTACTTATGGACTGTATAGTTCAAATGTAAAAAATAAATGTTTTTATGGGCCAACAGTGTCTTTGACATGTCTTGTACACTCAATAAGTTTCAGTTGAATGCATGAATAAATAGTCAAATGGATGAATGAATGTTTTTTGGTGAATTTCTTTAGAGAAACAAATTTTCAGTTTATTAAAAGCAGGTTTCCAAAGCAGCATAGATATAAAATCTTATTTAAAAAAATTGCAAGATTCAGAGATTATTATGTGTAATCATAGAAAGAAATGGAAAGATAACGTGAATTCATCTGCTATTATATTACTTGTAAACACTTGAAAATTAATATTACTTTTATAGTGTATTTTAGAGTATCCTGAAACACATATTTTGGAGCCAGAGTTCATGGGTTTGAATGCTTAATCTGCTACTGACAAGTTTTACGAGCTTGGGCAAGTTATATGGCCTTTCCATGCCTACTTTCTTCCTTTCTAAAATGCTCGGTATGTTATCTATCTCACAGAATTGTTGGGAGGATTCAAGTGACTTAAACACTTGTACAGTGTTTAGAATAGTACACAGTACCTGCACAGTATGTCCTGAAAAGCTAATGTCATAATTTTAAAAAGGGTTTCTGTTACATAAGTAATATTTATCAAATAAGTCTTAGTACCAATTAAAGCTTGTTTGTATAGAAAAGGGCAATAAGGTCAGGTGCAGTGGCTCACACCTATAATCATAACAGTTTGGGAGGCCAAGGCAGGTGGATCACCTCAGTTCAGGAGTTCAAGACTAGCCTGACCAACATGGTGAAACCCCATCTCTACTAAAAGTACAAAAAATATAAAAAAATGAAAAATAAGTACATGTGGTGGCAGGCACTTGTAATCCCAGCTACTCAGAAGGCTGACCTAGGAGAATCATTAGAACCATAGGGCTGGAAGTTGCAGTGAACCGAGATCATGCCATTGCACTCTGGCCCAGGCAACAGAGCAAGACTCTCTCAAAAAACAAATAAATAATAAATAAATAAATAAATAGGGGCAACAAGAGAAAAAGCTAGTGTGTGTGTGTATATATATATATATTTTTTTTTCTATCAAATAATGCAAGTAATATGTGTTTTCTTTTTCTTTGGCTGTCAGAAAACTAATGCTACCCTTTCCATTTACTTTATCCCCTTGTAGAAAATGTATTTTACATCACCTGTGAAATATTACCTGTAAACTTTATGAATAGGAGAGAGAAATTATAAACATAGAGGTTTTATATAGAAAATAGTTATAGATAGTCTTTGTATTTTACATATTTACTATTTGCCTGATTGTAACTTTTTTTTTTTAGGCTTGCAGAGAAAACATCTAATAAAGAGAACAAGGTATTGTAAAAGTAAATTGTCAAGAATGTTGTTGAAAATCTCTTATTAAATGTCACTTAAAAAAACAGAAAATCTTTTGTAGTAAAGATACTGGCTTTGAAAAAGCAGCAGTAACAATTCATAAAGGTACCCTTTTAACCAAAGTCTATTAACTATTTTAAGAAGTACTTTGGTTTTGCTCATAAAAAAAGATGAATAATTCCCACTGGTGTACATTTAATATATGCTATAAATATTTGGGGGACATTTTCAAACAGTGTTATTTATTTTATAGGTTAAAAGACATCTATATTTCAAGGATGACCCCAATGACATAATTTGGTCATCTGAAACAACCTCAGAGGTTGATGAGTTGCCTTACTCTGATGATAAGAATTTTATGTTACTCATTGAACAACATAGAATGGAGTGTAAAGGTAGGACCAATGCATAAATTTAAGGCTTTTTCCCTAGCCTATAGTAATGTTTGCACACATTGCTTGGCACTGTGTCATAGATCACTGATGTGTTATAGGGATGTTCATCTCAGAAATATGCTTTTTGTGAATATAGAATGAGAACTGCTCTATCTTGTATACTCTTAGCCAAAGAGCTGTGATCATTCCACTGTACCTTTCTCCATGTGAATGACACTCCCAATCTATTTGTTGACTCTGCTTCTCTCCTATGCCTTTACCTAGGGTCAGGCCATTATCTCGTATGTTGAATACTGTGATAACTCTTTTTTAACTCTTTTCCCTATTGCTCCACCTTCCAAAACCATGGTCTGTTCTGCAACCATAATTATATACATTTTTAAAATTTATGTCTGATCATGTTACCTGCTTGCTTAACACCCAGCTGCCACTTGTCATTGCTATAAGATAGACATGTCATACTCTAGCTTTATACTACATCATTTCATATCCTTGTTTCTCTCCACGTCACAGCCAGTGCCCCAGGTGTTTGCTCCTACAATCCTTAGCTTTAGTGAGGTATAGTTGATATATGTTAAAGTGCACATATGTAAGATGTAAAATTTAATAAGTTTTTTGACAGGTGTATACACCTGTGAAACTATCACCATAATGAACATAGTTATCTTATCCATCACCCACAAAAGTGTCCTGTGCTGCTTTATGTTCCCTTTTTAGAAAAACTGCTAAATTGTTTTCCAAAACATGTGTACCATTGCCATCAACTGACTAGGACAGTTTCCATTTCTGTGTTGTCACACTAAGTATTGCAGTATTTATTTGTAGCATTCTCGTGGGTGTGGATTTTGTGCATGATCCTAATGACTAAACATGTTGAACATCTTTCCATGTTTTATTTGCCATCTGTATATCCTCTTTGGTGAACTGTGTTTTCAAATCTTTTTCTATTTACAATATTAGGGTGATGTTTTCTTGCTTGTTGAATTTTAAGGGTTATGGACACTATTACTTTACAAGAACATTTTTTCCAGTTTGTGGCTTGACTTCATTTTCTTAATAGTGTCTCCTGAAGAACAGAGGTTTTTAATTTTGATGAACTTTGTTTAGTTACAGAGTTTTCATTTTATGTCATATCTAAGAAATCTTTCCTAGCACAAGTAATTTTCTCAAAATTTTTACAAAAATTGTATTCTATGCTTCATTCTAGAAGTTTTATAGTTCTAGGTCTTTCATTTAAATGTGTGCATCATTTTGAGTTCATTTTTATATATAGAATGAGGTATGGATTCAAGTTAACTTTTTAGATATGAACAGCCAGTTGTTTGAGTACCATGTATGGAAATGGCTATCCTTTCTCTACTACATTGCCATCCTGCCTTTGTCAGAAATAAACTGGTTGCCTGTATGTCATCTATTTGCCTGTGGACTCTGTTGAATTCTATTAATTTACAGATGCTCCTCAAATTATGGTAGGGTTACTTCTGATTTCAGTCAAAAGCTAAGTGATACTTCATTAAACCCATTATAAAGTCACTAAGTTAAACCACCTTAAGTTGGGAACTGTCTGTATTTGACTTTCTTTATATAGGTTGAACACCCTAATTCAAAAATCCCAAATCTGAAATACTGTAAAATCCAGTGTGTTTATTGTCAACCTGATCTCACAAGTGGAAAGATCCATATCTGAGCTCATGTACACAAACTTTGTTTCATGCAAAATGTTATAAAATATTTAAAATTACCTTCAGAGGCTAGGCATGGTGGTTCATGCCTATAATCCCAGAACTTTAGGAGGCTGAGGCGGGAGGATCACTTTGGGTCAGGAGTTCGAAATCATTCTGGCCAACATGGCAAAACCCCATCTCTACTAAAAATACAAAAATTAGTTAAACGTGTTAATACATACCTATAATCCCAGCTACTCAGGTAGCTGAGGCAAGAAATCGCTTGAACTTGGGAGGTGAAAGTTGCAATGAGCTGTGATCTCACCACTGCACTCCAGCTTAGGTGACAGAGCAAGACTATCTCAAAAATTAAAATAAAATAAAATTACCTTCAGGCTTTGTGTATAAGGTGTATATGAAAAATAAGCGTATTTTGTGTTTGGGCCTGGGTCCTATCTCCTAGAGATATCATTATATATATGCAAATATTCCAAAATCCAAAATCTGCAATACTTCTGGTCCCAAGCACTTTGAATAAGGGATGTTCATCCTGTACCAGTGGCACATTGTTTTGATTACTATTGATTTATAATAATCGTCATAATCAGTTTTCTAATTTTGTTATTTGTTCTGTTTTGGCTATCCTAGAACCTTTGCATTTCCACATGAACTTTAGAATTGACTTGTCAACTTAAAAAAAAGCCTACTGGCTTGTTGGACATTAGGTTGGGACTGTGTTATATTTATAGATTAATTTATGGAGAATGAACATCTTAACAATAATGAATCTTCCTTCTCCTGAAGAAGCGTATGTCTGCATTTATATAGGTCATATTTAATTTTCTCAGTAATATTTTGTAGTTTTTAGTATATAGGTTGTCTTGTGTTTTATCAGATGTTTCAGTATTTCAGTTTTTCCTATAGTCATAAATAATATTTAAAAATTTTTATGCTGATTGCTTATCACGAATATATAGAAATTCAATTGGTTTTTGTATGTTGATTTGACATAGTCCAATCTTGCTGAACTCACTTATTAGTTCTGGTACATTCTTGGAAGATTCGATCAGATTTTCTACATAGACCAAAGACTGTCACACTTTTTCTTAAAGTAGTTTCTTATTAAAGACTTGTGGAAAAGGGAATCTCTGTTGCAGCTGATTGACACTGCTATTGTAGTATGAGAGGAGCCATAGAAAACCTGTACATTAATGAACACAGCTGTGTTCATAGACAAAGACAAGAAGCTGTCCCATTGGTTAGAGTTTACCCAAAACTGTTGTGTGATCATGGTTGTGTATAAGGACAGATTTATTTATTTTTTCAACCGGGATGATTTTTCTTTTACTTCCCTGACTAAACTAGCTAGAATCTCCAGAAAAATGCTACATAAAAGCAGTGAAAGCAAACAGTCTTGTGTTCTTCATCTTCTGGGCAACATATTCAGTTTTTCACCATGATGCATGTTAGCTGTGGGTTCATCATAGATGCTCTTTATCATGTTGATGAAGGTCCCTGGATTATTACTTTCCTGAGAGTTTTTCCTTTTTAAAAAAGCAGATTCAGCCATATCCTGGCAAAGGACATGAACTCATATGTTTTTTGTGGCTGCATAGTATTCCATGGTGTATATGTGCCACATTTTCCCTGTCCAGTCTATCATTGATGGGCATTTGGGTTGGTTCCAAGTCTTTGCTATTGTAAACAGTGCTGCAATGAACATACGTGTGCATGTGTCCTTATAATAGAATGATTTATAATCCTTTGGATATATACCCAGTAGTGGGATTGCTGGGTCAAATGGAATTTCTTTTTCTAGATCCTTGATGAATCGCCACATTGTCTTCCGCAGTGGTTGAACTAATTTACACTTTCACCAACAGTGTAAAAGTGTTCATATTTCTCCACATCCTCTCCAGCATCTGTTGTCTCCAGATTTTTTAATGATCGCCATTCTAACTGGCGTGAGATGGTATCTTAATGTAATTTTGATTTGCATTTCTCTAATGACCGGTGATGATGAGCATTTTTTCATATGTTTTTTGTCCTCATATGTGTCTCCTTTTGTAAAGTGTCTGTTTATATCCTTTGCCAATTTTTGAATGGGTTTGTTTGTTTTCTTGTAAATCTGTTTTAGTTCTTTGTAGATTTTGGATATAAGTCCTTTGTCAGATGGGTAGATTACAAAAATTTTTTTCCCATTCTGTTGTTTGCCAGTTCACTGTAATAATTTTTTCTTTTGCTGTGCAGAAGCTCTGGAGTTTACTTAGATCCCATGTGTCTCTTTTGGCTTTTGTTGCCAATGCTTTTGGTGTTTTAGTCATGAAGTCCTTGCCTATGCCTATGTCCTGGATGGTTTTGCCTAGATTTTCTTCTAGGGTTTTTATGATGTTAGTTCTTATGTTTAAGTCTTTAATCCATCTGGAGTTAATTTTAGTGTAAGGTGTCAAGAAGGGGTCCAGTTTCTGCCTTCTGCATCTGGCTACCCAGTTTTCCCAACAACATTTATTAAACAGGGAATCATTTCTCCATTGCTTGTTTTCGTCAGGTTTGTCACAGATCAGATGGTTGTAGATGTGTGGCATTGCCACCAAGGCCTCTCGTCTGTTCCATTGGTCTATATCTCTCTTTTGGTACCAGCACCATGCTGTTTTGGTTACTGTAGCCTTGTAGTATAGTTTGAAGTCAGGTAGCATGATGCCTCCAGCTTTGTTCTTTTCACTGAGAATTGACTTGGTTATGCTGGCTCTCTTTTGGTTCCATATGAAATTTAAGGTGTTTTTTTCCAGTTCTGTGAAGAAGGTCATTGGTAGCTTGATGGGGATAACGTTGAATCTATAAATTACTTCGGGCAATATGGCCATTTTCATGATATTGATTCTTCCCAACCATGAGCATGGAATGTTTCTTCATCTGTTTGTGTCCTCTCTTATTTCCTTGATCAGTGGTTTGTAGTTCTCCTTGAAGAGGTACTTTTCATCCTTTTATTGTTTTATTCCTAAGTATTTTAGTTTGTTCTTGATTTGGCTCTCTTTAACTCTGTTATTGGTGTATAGGAATGCCTGTGATTTTTGCACATTGGTTTTGTATCCTGAGGCTTTACTGAAGTTTGCTTATCAGTTTAAGGAGATTTTGGGCTGAGATGATAGGGTCTTCTAAATATACAATCATGTCATCTGCAAATAGAGGCAGTTTGATGTCCTCCTTTCCTAATTGAATACACTTTCTTTTTCTTGCCTGTTTGCTCTGGCTAGAACTTCCGATACTATATTGCATAGGAGTGGTGAGAGAGGGCATTCTTGTCTAGTGCCAGGTTTCAAAGGGAATGCTTCCAGT